GCTCTTCCCTCCTCACCGACCTCATTTTAGCCGCCTCACCGTCCTCTTTTTAGCTTTCTCCTATCCTCATATTTGAGGAGGACGTGGGCAAGCAGCAAGCAATTAGTCCAGGCGGAGAAGGCGGAGAAGGCGGAGAACGCATAGGTTGGCCGCCGATGAAGAGGACGACGAGCTTCTCGGAGTTATCGCCGCCTCTTCCGGCGTGCTCGCCGCCGCCGTGCCAACCTTCGTCGGACGACAAGGGCTCGGATGTAATTAAATCGTTGCTGGATCGGATAAGGAGGAACTCAATTGATTTGTCATCACTGAATCTCACCAATGCGGCCCACTTCCTCAACACTTGCGGTTTCTGCAAGCGCCGCATCGGTCCCGGCATCGAAACCTTCATCTACAGGTATTAATCCAAGAAAACTTGAATGTAAATCAGAAACATATTGCGATTAATTCTCAGAATCATTTTTGGCTGCGAATTGATTTAACCTTAAAACAGGGTTTATCAAATCCTATTAAATTTGGACTTATCAAACGTTTGGGGCAATGGCGAGCGACTATGAGCGATGCCTGTGAATCCGTCTTTAGATGCATTTAATGAATTCGGATTTACGTCTTTTTTCTTAACTAACTGGAGATAAAAATTAGTCAAAAAATGTATTAATTATCTTAATTTAATTGGTCACTTAAGTATTAATTAAATTAATTTAATCATTTTAATTAAATGATGGTTGATTAATTTCCATCTCATTTAATTTCATTGTTCTAACATTTTTAAGATAATGAAACTGAATCCTACAGTATTGAATTGGTAACTCTGAAAAAAGTAATATCTCCTCTTTCCCATCGTTTCTGTGTTTGCTTCTTGCCCCCGCTTCCTGTTCCTTAAGATTTTGCTTAATGATCTGCATGCAGCATATGCAATACGATGAGAAAATATACTTTTGCGCACATATATTTGCTTGTGAACTTTATATATATGAAGTTGGTTTGATTCATGTTAAACTTTAATTCATGTATTTCATGTTCCTGTTAAAATATGCATGATTAATCTATGGTCTGTATTCTTCTGCTAGCGCATATTTCTCAAACAATGGCTAAATTATATTCTGCAGGTTAGACTTATTGTATGCCTCATATGAATGTTTGTAAACCATAGTTCTACATTCTGACTCGCTTGACTGCTTGTATATCGTGAATATATTTTTAGAAAATTATGAAATCTGTTAGGTCTTATCTTTTACACAGTATCACATCAGCAAGTTTGTATAAGCTTGATGAGGCAATGAACCGGAAGGAGATGTCTAAGGTTTATGGTACAATGAATGTTGAATTGGATAATATAATACATGTAATAATTATATTTTCTTATCAATACAATATAAAATTTTTAATTAAGAACACTTCACTTTTGAATATTTTGAATATAAATCTAAATTAAAATAATATTTTAATTTTATTCTTAATTAATGGTCTAAATTTGCATTTCTAGTCATTTGATTAAACTCAAAAAGTTAAATCTTGATCAATATTTAAATTGTTCTGTTCATTAAATTAGTATGATTT